GTCATGGAAAACACAGAGCTATTCCTCTTGCCACAGCAGCATAAAGATCAGGTCTCTGTGTATTTGTGTGTGGGGTTTGTGTTCCTTTGGCGTACGTGTGGGTGTATGTATGTATGGAGGCCAGAGGTCAAGGTCGGGTGTTGTCTTCAACTGTTCTCCACACCCTACTCTTTGAGACAGGTTCTGTAGCAGAGCCTAGAAATTATCAATGTAGCTGGGCTACCTGCCCATCAAGTTCCAGGGATCTGCCCCAACTCTGGAGTTATAGATGTAGACCATTGTATTTGCCTTTTACGGGGCTAAAGAGGTGTGGATACTATCTAAATGCATGATGTACATATATGAAAATGCCATCATGCAGCCTGTCATCATGAATAACTGATAACTGCTCACAAAATTTAAGAAGTTCTGGGTTTTACTGATAGTCTGCAGTGGGTAAGGCACTGAAAATGGCAATGTACTAGAGAATGCAAAGCCACTGTAAAAATATAACATGTAAACTGTGTTCATAAAATGCTACAATTATGTAGAAAAATATGCATAGAAAACTCACAAAGAATAACAGCCAAAGACTGTAAGAGACGCCTCTAAGCTGCTGGGAGTGATAAAGGATAAAGGTGGTAGCAGGTTCTCTACATAGATAAAAGCTAAAGATGGTGGCCAGTTCTCTGCGTAAATAAAAGCTAAAGGTGGTGGCCGATTCTCTGCATAAATAAAATTCTCTTCTGATTTCATGTATGCAGTTTAACATTGTATTAGCAGTAATTCTGGGACCTAGCAGAGAGATGAGAAAAGAAAGAAAAGCTCCTTTTCTTTAGTAAATCAAATATTCATAATCTTTTGAATTTATATTTAAGAACCCACTATTCCATGTAGTACCCTTCTCCTGATTTCTAAGTGTTTGTGACCAGTTCAGCATTAGGTATGGGTAAAAACTCCATTTCTTGATGCAATATTAGCACTTCTTGTTACCTGCTGTCAAATAAAATGTGCTTTTCCCAGTCAGCCACAGACTTCTGATGTGCCAAGTTCATACGTTCTATGGCTCACTGATAACCATATTGGCAACACTGGTACAGAAAGCCTTCATTATGTGAAACACGTTCCTCATGCTAAGAACTTTCATGTTGTATTAAAATGGTTTCTCTGTCAGGAATGTTATCACTAAGAAAAACTTCCCATGTCAGGGAAATTCATTGGTTGATTCCTCTTTTCCACCAGTTTATTATTCACCAATTTCCATTACTGAGACCATAAATGATGTGGTTATTTTCTTCCTGCTATTAATCGTCAATGTTTCTGGACACTGTATGAAGGTCACCATTTGTGACTTGAGTTTTGTCTCAGTACTTATGTCTACTGTCCATAGTCCATCTTCCTGCTGGTGCAAAGTTCTTAGTACCTAGAATTCCATTACACTACATGGAGTGTTGTAAACAGAGTACTACTTATGAAATGGTTGTTGGTAAATAATAAATGGTGAGTGCTCAATAAGAGAACTAACTCACACACTTTAACAAGCTTTGAAGTTAGAGCCTAGGTTAAAGTTATCTGACTTTTGTTATTTAGACACCTGGCTGTTGAATGAGGTTGGGGAAGGGTTACCATTTTGTTAGAAGACAAGTATTCTCCGTGTGAAATGGTCAAGGAATAACTGACTAGGAAAATGTTGGACTCTGGTAATAATGGGGGGAAGAGATACCTCCCTACACAGAGAAATAGTAAGCAAAGTTAGCAAGGAAAGCACTGAGATACCATCTGTGTATGTACTCAGTCTGGAACTGTTCTTCCAGTGTAGTTCATTGCCATCCCCTCATCACATAAAGGACAAAGAGCAGAGATTGAATGTTGCAAGGAGCGGGTTGCTTGTTCATTCCGGCTTCCTGGCAAGCTTACACCCAAAATAACCACACAGAAACTGTATTAATTAAATCACTGCTTAGCCATTAGCTCTATCTTCTTATTGGCTAACTCTTACATATTAGTTTAACCCATCTCCATTAATCTGTGTATTGTCACATGACAGTGGTTTGCCAGATATTCTAACCGGCATTCATCTCTGGCAGAGGATCCCTGACTTTTCCGACTCTGCCCTTCTTTTCCCCAGCATTCAGTTCTGCTTTCTCCACCTACCTAAGTTCCACCCCATCAACTAGGCCAAGGCAGTTTCTTTGTTCATTAACCAATGAAAGCAACACACAAAGAGAAGGAACTTTTACACCAATTGAATACAGGAAACAACAAATGAATAAAAAACAACAATAAAAACAAAACCCCCAGAGAGAAGCTTTGCCATGGAGAAAGTCTGGGCTGCCAAGAGAACACAGAGTAGAATGTAATGTCAAGCCCTGTTAATAGTTGCTCACATTTTTAACTTTGTGTTTTACATCATCGATCAATGCTATAGAAGATATTGTCTTTATTTTTTAGACAACATCTACAGGTGATCTATAATTGTGATTAATTCTTCTGCCCAAAGGGGGCAGTCTAGATCAATAACACCAAGTTTAGCTTTCATGAGACATTTCCTATCATGCAGTGCCTTGTAGAGGCATTTATGAACTTACAGTTTCTAAAGAGGAATGTCATCATGGCCACTGGGAGGAAAGGAAGCATATTGCATTTCCACACTGTTCACTGCCAGAAACCTAATCTCATTCACACACAAAGATCATCCTTAATGTGGAGACTTAGTAACCCGTGAACCTTAAATGTTCTTATCACACAGCTGAACTCTATGCTTTGGGTCACAGATGGCAAGCCATTTGGATAAATCTATCCAAGAAACAGATTAAGAGTCAACTTCATATAGTCAGGTTCCTAATGAGCATTATTGAGGTAAATCAAAGAATCCTTCAGGTCAGAAACAATAGAAGACATAACTATTTCACTTGAGGGGATCGAGAGGGTGGCAAACATTTCAGATATGATGGAGGACAGAAAGGGTCAGGAGTGGGAACCGAGGAGGAGCAGGAGGATGAGAGACTGGTACCAGAAAACAGCAGGAGTGTTCTCGGGCCACGTCTGGACTATCAGATCGGTGCAGTCTAAAAGAACTCTTGCTTCTTGCTACTGTCACGCCTGCATACGGCCAGCAAACTAAATACCAAAGCAGACGGCCCTCAAACATCCATGCATGGCTGTAAATATCTACCCATCCGTTCATGACCCAAGTGTTCACTGACTTCCTCCCTGAGCTCTGAGTTTTTGAGACAAAGGAAAGAAAAATAGCTGCATAGCTGCCTTCATCCAAAAAGAGGTCAACTGACCACAAACAAGTTCCTGTGAGTCAATCAAAGGGGTTAAGATGGAGACCACCGCTGAGCAAAACGCTGGACCCATACCATGCTTCTAAGGGGGCTGTAGGGCTGGAGATTTGTGGGTAGAAAGGCACGGACTGGATTTTTGGTGGAAAGAACGGCAAATCTCTGTAAGCTAGGGGCTGGTTAGGTCAGGCATGGTTTTCTCCATCTCTCTCCTGGTGACTGTTTTTTGGCATTTCACTGATTATTGTTCCACTGAAGTGATGAAGTGCCGGTCAAGGAGGGATTGCTGGCATTCCAACGTGTGCTCAGCACCAGAACTGTGAAATGGGATTGAACTCAGAGAAGTGATGCTACAGTTTCAGTAACAAGGGGGCGAAGGACAGTGCTCGAGTAAGCAAATGACAAAGTCATGTAGTGAGAGCTGCTTTTTAGTCTCAGCTTTTGAGTCCTCATGGTCACAGGCCTGAGACTTAAACACTGGAGTTCTCAGAATCCCTCGACTGGGGAGGAGGCATCGTTTATCGCCACTAGATGGCGCCAAACATTTTCATTTTTAAGGAAGGAAAAAAGGAAACTTTTCAGTAGCCAAGCCACATTCAAGTAAAAGACTGTTACTTACCACCACTATTTATAAAACTATTATTAATTTAATCATTACTTAATAATGAATGATTCAGAACCACTATGAATGCTCCTGTGAGGTACATTTGAGCCAATTTTTTAAAAAAATTAATAAAGCTTTCTTTGCCTTATGAAAGAACAAAAGGAAATTGAAATAAGTGTATATATCATAATAGAATATATAAGTATAAAATAGTAGGATTAAATAAGCTTATAAAAGTTATTATAAAATATTGCACATATCTATTTGGGCAAAAAATAGATATTATTTTGTTTTCAGGAGAACTGTGCGTTGTACAATGAAAAAATTGAAATTTCAACACATTTTTAAACTCTTACTAGCTTATTGCAATGATATATAACAAAAACCATTGTAAATTGTAAAAGAGGATAGTATAATGAATGTGTTTAGTTAGAATCTATATAAAAATTAATAATATATTTAGCTTCATATAGTTTGATTAATAAAATTCAGGTGCAAGACATATTTTGGCATATGATTTCAAAGGGTTAGACACATTCTTAAGGAAAAGAACGTAAAGTGTTTTCACTTAACCAATAAAAGTGACTTGTAATACTATTTTTGCATGGAAATAAAGCAGCAGCAGCATCCTATCTCTCCACTGGAAGAACACAACCTACATTCTTACTTCAGTAAAGCGAGGAACAGTAAAGTCAGAGTCCACACAGAATGCACAGAAAGTCCGATGCCCCGCGTGAACACACAAGGACTACTCCAGAAAGAAATATAAAAGCCACAGGCTTATTGCATGAACACAGTGACTTTTAAAATCTAAGTAGCGCATGTACTGGCTTTGTGGGAGCCTAGGCAGTTTGAATGCTCACCTTACGAGACCTGGATAGAGGTGGGCAGTCCTTGGGCTTCCCACAGGTCAGGGAACCCTGATTGCTCTTCGAGCAGATGAGGGGGGGGGACTTGATCGGGGGAGAGGGAGGGAAATGGGAAGCGGTTGTGGGGACGAGGCAGAAATCCTTAATAAATAAATAAATTAAAAAAAAATCTAAGTAGCGCTATCACACCAGCCCCAAATGAAGAGTGCGCAGCATGTTTGGCTATCGCCGTGTTTCCTCTCATGTTCATGTAGGACTCACCCGTATATCGGGCAGGGTGCTCTTTCTCATGTCCAAAAGCTTTTGGAATCGCCTCTCCTCCTCGAAGATCCTCTCTTCACAGTGCTGCTTCTCCTTCATGAGATGGTCATACACACCCTGTGCGTGTTCCCTGTCAAATCTCAGCTTGAAGAACTCTTCGCTGTGGGGAAGGAGTTTCACATGTGATCTCGGGGCTTACAGAAGAAAAATACTAGTCTCTAAAAAGCGTCAGGAAGTCAGTAAGACAATAGCGTCAACAATAAACACGCTTAAGAAGCTATTGCCAGTGTGAGCTGTGATCAGAACGCAGAAGCAACACTACAGAGCAGGTCCCTGGATTTTAGTCAGGTATTCTGTCATAGCAGTGCACGACACCCAAAAAGGTTGAGGAGGATTTGTGGCCCATCTTAGGTCTTTATAAATCTAGTGCAATTTGTATAATTCTAAGTTTATACTTTTTAGACCTATTTAATTTTCTTTCTATTCCCCGTGTATAGAAAGTGTGTAACAATTCTGATTGTAACTCACTTTGTAGACCAGGCTGGGCCCTAACCCACAGAGACCCACCTGCCTCTGTCTCCTCAGAGCTGGGATTAAAGGTGTATGCCACCACCACCACCTGTCTTTTTCTTGCTTTTAAATATGATATGACAAAGATAAATTAGTCTTTTGCAGATAATAGCTATATGACCATTGTAAACAGATACTGCACTTTTGTTTCCAGGCTGCCCAGACCGGAGTAATTACACAGAAACTATATTAATTACAAGACTGTTTGGCCGATGGCTCAGGCATATTTCTAGTTATCTCTTACATCTTAAATTAACCCATTTCTATTTCTCTATGTATTGCCATGTGAGTGTGGAGTCACTTCATTTTCTACATGTCTTGTTTCCTCAGCGGCTGGCTGTCCTTTTCTCAACTCTGTCTACACTCTCTCTTTGTCTCTGTTCAGATTTCCCAGCTGGATACTCTGCTAAGCCATTGGCCAAAACAGCTTTATTCATCAACCAGTAAAAGCAACACATATACAGAAGGGCATCCCACATCATCTCCCCCTTTCTGTCTAATTACAAAGGAAGGTTTTAACTTTAAAATAGTAAAATTACATAGACAAAACAGTTATCAAGCAATAATTATAGTTATAATATAATGATATTAACTATAGTTATAATATATATAGTTTAGGTATATAGTTATACTTATATATAGTTACAGTTATAATATAATAATCAAAACTATAAACTATAATTATGTATAATTATATATATAATTTGACTATATATTATATATTATTAACTATATTATATATACTTTGACCATATAATATATATAATTATATATATTACATATAAATATGTTTTATATGTTTATATATAGAAGCCTTGTTATCCAGCTCGGTATTAGGGTTAGGTTTATATATTAAATCATATATATATGTATATGTATATATGTATATGCTTTGAACTCACAGAGGTCCATCTGACTCTGTCTCCCAAATTCTGGAATTAAAGATGTGTGTCATTGTTGCCTGACCTCTAGTGGCTTTATCTTTGCCTCTGGTCTGCAGGTAAGGTTTGTTTATCAAAATACAAATAATATACCACTACATATCATGATCATATAGCCCTCTAAGGTGAACTGACTTAAGTCCACTAGAGAGTATCTTGTTTCTGGCTACACGTAGCTGTTCTTTGCTTGTATTTTTATGCATGTATGAGCATGAGTGTGTGGAGTGTGACGTATATGGACAGGAGTGCAGGCTTTGGTGTGGAGGGCAGAGGCTCTCCTATAGTAGGGCAGGTCCACTTTTGATTTTTTAATCAAATTAACTGCCATGTGCTTAATGTGCTAATATTTTGTTGGCTATCAAGCCACCATCCTAATGTGATCTGTCAGTTACCCTCCAATCATTATGCAAACCTATTTTATGATATTTAACAAAAGAGGAAACAGAGTCAACATGAACACAGGATGAGAGTACAATTTCCGCATGAGGACACATGGACACCCTGTGGGCCTGAGAACACCGTCTTAGGAGCCAAGGACCCTTTTCAGGGACAGCACCCCTGGTAGGTGAAGTGCGCTCATGAAGAGGCCACTGAAGAAGGGAGAAGTGAAAAGTAGATAGAGTCTATAGAATGTTTGTTTCTAAATTCTTCCCTCAAAACTGTAACTTGCAAGGTTAGGAGGAAGCCATAAAATATTAAACATGGCTCACAAATACTAACAATGTGTTGAATTAATGAATGATATTAATAACAGAGAAAAATTCACATATGTGGAAAAAGAGAAATACCACCAAAAAATAAACCCAGGGGAGAAATAAAGAAGGAAAGCAATTTGTAATTATACACAAATAAATAAAAAATGGTTAAAAATTGTATTTTATCACATACTTCAGATAAAATTCTGAAAATATGAACCATCTTAAGAACGTATTTTAAATATAAAAATCCGATTTTATTAATCATAGAGTAAATATGATTCTTATTTTGCAAAACTTACTTCAGCATTTCAAGTCTATCTTCATAATTTACTTTTTCCAGTTTCATTGTTTTTATCTCTTTATTCAGTTCTTTGCTTTTTGCATTGAAAACAATTGTTTTATGTTTAGTTTGCTCTATTTCTTGATGAATCAGTGAACGTTTTCCCTAAAAAAAAAAAAAAAAATGTTTCAAAGATTTCTTTTTAACACTTTGGAATTTAGAGACATGGCTACACAAGCTACATAGGCAGTAGAAGAGCAGTGACATAGGGGACAATGTAAACGTCATGGCGACAGGGCTGGCTGTACAGACAAGAAAAGAGTAACGATTTCTTAGCATGGTAGACCATGGTGTAAGCACATGTTCTAACATCACCATCCTAAGCTTAGAATCACATCTTTGCTCTTTGAGCTCCCACCTACGTTGACGCCAGCCTGCCACATGTCCTAAAATACATAAACTTTCTGTCTCAAGACACACTCGCATAACTCTGGTTCTCACCCGCACAGGATGACCCTTGAGGGGTGTGTGTGGAATGTCAGCTAAGCACAGATGCTCTCTCATCTTTCAAACAACACAAAACCACATTTTGTTAGCACAACTTCCTGGGGTGATTCCGGGAAAATAAATCTATGCTGAGGTGTCTCTTAGGTGAGTTGACCTCTAATAAAGGGTTGTAAAATTAAGAAGCCTTTTTATCACTACTGAATAAAACAGGGTTAAGATGTTTATGCTGGCAATACAGTGTGGATTATTACCATATTACTGGCCAAAGCTGAATAAACTTAAGTCTTTGTATGACCAAAACAAGAGGAATGGAAAAAAAAATGGCTTTAGCTATCTAAATGAAGATTCTTTCTAAAACCAACAATTTCCTAGTAAATGAAACATTTTCAATTATATATTTTAAATAAATCTAAATCTTTTAAAAATAATAACCTATATTGTCAAATTATATGTCATTATTATAATATTTTTATCAATGATTAAGGATATGTCTTACTAAACTTTCTATTCAATAAACATATTTTTGATAAATGATGATTTTATGAATTAAAGAAAATTGGATTACTAGATTTCGAGCCGAAACCTTCTTTTGCCCTTCCCCTCTCTTCCCTTCCTTTCTGTCTCCCTTCCTTCCTCTCTCTGGCTCCCCTCCTTTTTCCTCTTTTCCTGTTAAGGTCACCCATGTCAGGGTAATAAAATGAGTGAAATTGGTGGTGTATAAACATTCAATGGACTGAGAAGTTCAGAAATAGAAGGCAAGCAGGTTTGGTGCCTGTAGGAGGTTCTTCTGTCTATGTGCTGCTTGCATTGGTTGAATAAAGAAACTGCCTTAGCCTTTTGATGGGGCAGCACTTAAGCAGGTGGAGTAGACAGAACAGAATGCTGTGAAGAAGAGTGTGTGTGAGAGAGAGGCCATGAAGCTCCTACCTGAGACTGACGTTGGTTAGAATCTTTTCTGGTAAGGCACAATCTCATGGTGCTACACAGATTATTAGAAGTAGGTTAAATAAAGATGTGAGAGTTAGCCAATAAGAGGTTAGAACTAATGGGCCAGACAGTGTTTAAATGAATACAGTTTCTGGGTTGTTATTTTGGGTGTAAGCTAGCCGGGTGGCCCAGACAAAAAGCAGGCCTTCACTCCTCCTACAACAGGTGCCTGCTCAGGGCTCATTCTTTTGAAAAGATGCTATCTTCTTGCTGTGTCCTCACATAGGGAAAGGAGTGAGCTTGGCCCCTGGGATGCATTTAAAAGGCATTGGTCCCAGTCACAGGGGTGGAGCCCTCAGGTGTTCCTCTAACCAACACCCCAACAACAGAGACCCTCTCCGGAGTAGAATTATGGGAGGGTACCAATATTCTTCTCCTTCTCATGGGCCTTGCTTTCCTTCCTCCATTCATCTTTCTTTTGCCTCATTACTTCCTAGAAGTTCCACGTAGAGATCAGTGGGAGAGCCAGGAGAGTAGCAAATTCCTGCGTAAACCCAGCATGAATTTTGGGTTGCTCTGGGTTATTTTCCTGCTAAAGGCTATGTGCCTTATAGACTAGAGCAGTGGGAAAGACAGGATATATAGCTGCAGTGTGTGTGTGTGTGCACGTGTGTGTGCGCACGTGTGTGTGCATGTATGTGTGTGGTGTGTGTGCAGAGACCATTTAGTGAGAGCAATTCTAACGCAAGACATCACTTTACAATTATATTTGCCTAATGAGTTCTCATTGGCATAAGAAATTATAAGTTGAAAATTTAATTTTTCACCTCAGTTTGTGTGAGTTCCTTACGACTTTTCTTGCTCTTTCTTCGTAGCTTTTTCTTTGTTGCCTCTACTTTCCGTCTTACAAGTTCTTTCCTCCCCCGTATCTCATTAAGCATCTAGAGGACATTCAGATTTTATGTTATATAATATTTGTGATCCAATTGCCCTGATTCAGATAAATAGTACGTAGTGGTTATCTTAATAATCACAATGTTTATTTTAATGTATGAAAGGAAAGGTATACAGCCAGTGAGTTCTTAACTGTGGCACCTCTCATCCCAATACATTGTTTACATTAGCTGAGTCATGGAAGGTCTAATCTGTTTCAAATAAATAAGCAAACATGATGAACATCCATAGAAATTAAAATATTTCATTATAATATTTAAAATGTTTCAGCTAAAATTGAAGCTCTAAACACAAATTATGAGAAACCATTATCAAATAAAAATGTACAAAAGCTTATACTTCCCCAGAATTTGTGCTAAATGCTAATTCTTAAAATTTATTAGTTTTTAAAACACAAAATAAGAATTGATTGGTGAACAACAAGAACATATAAAGCTAGACTATTAGAATATTAAGGGGAAACAAATGTCATCAATTGTTGGTAGAAGTCATTATTATACTCAGAAAATGACATTGAGAAGCTTAATATAATTAATAAATCCCCACTCATTAATGTTAGAAGGAGTCATTATTAAAACCAGTTATCCGTCTAGGTTTAGTACTGTTATGTGTATGTAAGGATCCCATTTAGAAATCTCCACTTGCTCAACCTGGTTAGGCTCCAGTTTTCTGTGGTTTATAATGCAAGACTTTGAAAGTCAAAAAATAAATTTTTAGCAGTAATTCCTTGTAACTCACAGTTTAGAAACCTAAGCCTTTTGAAAATTATTAATAACCAAAGTCAGACCATCATTTGCAAAAAGTATTTTAGAAAAGCCCTACAATGTTGGCAAATCGCCCCAAGTATATGTGTGTCCTCCGTACAGGGAAAGACAAGAATGTATCTCTACTGACACGCCCTCCACTTCTCTGAAAGATAAATGACAGGATGCACATATATTTGTCCATGATTTTTTTTGGGGGAGGAAGGGCCAGTAATATCAGTTACTGACAGGAATGTGTAGTTTTGAAAATATTTTACTCACATTAGCTTTATTTTTCACACTAGCTGTCTTAACTTTCACCAAAAACTTACCTAGAAAATGTCAAGGTGCCTCATATTTTATATTTGAGTCAACATAACGCTTAGCATCCCATTCAGAAGCAGTGGAGACCGAACTGAGTGCTCTTGCTGGGCAGTCTCACCAGGCAAGTCCCTGGTCACTCAGTTCAGGATGGGTTGCCCTAAGTAAGGCAGACTCGAGGGTTGTAGAGTTCTTCAGTGAATCAATGGCATGAAAGAGCAACTTGGAGGGCGTGTGATTTCCCAATAAGAAACCATAAATTTCTATATAATATTTTCACATACATTACTTAGCAACCTAAATATCCCTGAAAATTAGCTATTAGTTGTGAATTACTGTCTATGTCCTGAATTATTGTGAATGCTTACTGCCGAGTGTTGACGGTGGAGAATTCTGATTCGTACAACATCTGCTTCTATCTGGCGCAGTGGCAGCTCGACTTCTGTCAGTGCCGTACTATAGAGGGCTTTTCTTCTTATATACTCCTGCATCTCCAAGAACTGCATTTCTTCAATGGAAAATAATCTTTTCTGCCAGCCAAGATTGCAAATCATTCATTCGGTGTTAATGACACATGTATTTATTAAGAACAATTTAGTGTTGTTGTTACTAAAATCAAAGACTGCAGTCCCTCACGGAAAAGTAAGGGGTGAGAACGCGGTATTTTAAACAGCATGCAGCTGTTGAACAAACGTGAGAGAAAAATCAAATAGACAACAAAGACCAAGAGCATGCTGATGACACACACTAGGATGTATCTAATTCTTGAAATGTAAGACAAAAGCGACCAGGGAGCAAGGCAGGCACGAGAAATTGTTAGGCAAAATGACTTGTCTAACTATGGAAATATTGAGTAAATATCGACAGAAAAGATACCTCCAAAAGACAAAATACCTATAATAAAGCATAGAAGACACTTCCAAATTTGTCTTTGCTTTATAGAGTTCGATTAAGGATGCTAAAAAAATCACCCATCACATGAATATGGATTTCTTTGACTTGCGATTTTAATTTTCCAATCATGATAATTACAACTCTTATATATGTATTTCTAAGGGGAAGCATTCTGGAATATATCAGGGATAAGCAAGATTGAAAAACGGAACTTGGTTTGGCTAGTGATCATGCTTCCATTTCAAAGCTTTTATATAGAAATATCATAGCACATTTTTTTTTTAATCGGGGTTAAATAAAGAAATTCCGGTGAGAGACACTAAAAGTAAAGAAAACGTAACATCATCAGAAAGCAAACTAAAGAGTTAGACAGTCAGGAATAAGAGCCAATGCCCTTTCACTAGACTGGCAGAAATTCCCATTAAGCCACAAAATGAGATATGTGCATGGGAGGTCAGTTTCTTTATGCATGATCAGACAGTCTAGTTGTACACAGAGGCCAACTGTCATCAGCTAAGGAGAGAAAAGTGCTGGCTTGCAAACCAAGCAGTGACAAAAGATGCCTCATTACAGGCAAATTTAAAATGCTAAGTAAAATGCAAATTAAAGGAAGAAGGAAATGCAGAAGCCAAATTAGTATTACCTGAATCTCCATCCCAGTAGTCATTTCAGCTCGTGTGAGCTTCTTCAGGAAGTCCTCTCTACCCTGTGTGTCACAAGTTGTCAAACACAGACTTTATTAACAGGATATTTAGAAATAAGTTTTAGCAGCAGTTACTAATATAAGATAGAGTTTACCTTATCAAGATAAAGAGCAAAGCAGTCACTATGATTTGCATATTATAATTAATTTTTAAAGGCCTTGATATTATTTGAGTTAAAACATTTAAATTATATACCAGAAAAAAGCAGGATTCAGTTTCATATAGGTTATATCTTACAATCCTAAACTTACAAAAAAAAAAAAACCCACAAAACAAAAACAAAGAAAGATCTAGACAGTCCTTGACTCATACATCCCTGTCCTCCAGAAAACAATGGATTTCTTTTAATATTACTTTCCAGAATAAACGCTTTGAATGTTGAAAGAAAAACAATCAGGTGTGATGCTTGCACAGTATGATTAGATCCTCCACTTGATTAGAACAATTTCTCTATTTTTCAAAAAAGAAATTCTTCAAAAGACAGTATTCAAAAGAAAAAGGAAGCAGTTTTGCATTGTTTCCTAGGTAATGGTCTCAATTATTCCACGTGGACACAAACCAGCACTGGAGGACACTCTCTAGGTCTTTCTGCCTTGTCCTATATCTGAGAGAAGAGTCACCTTACCTTCAGGCTACTCTCCAGATTCAAAATAGATATAGAAGTTTGCAAAGAGAAATCACACAGGTTCTTAAAGGTCTATGATTTCCCCACTTCCCAGCTAAGCCCAGTTATATCTTCAGGTCTACAGACGCAATAAAGAGAAGCAAACATACAGGTTCATATTCCAACCCTTCCCCTACCTAGACAGCACTGAGAATTGAGATCATTTACCCAAGCCAACCTGACAGAGACCACCAATCCCTCACTGAGTCTCTAGGCGATTCTAGATTGTGTCAAGTTGACAATAAAACCACCACACTGGTCAACACAGAAACAACAAAGCATGGCTCCAGAGCAGAAGACATGAAGGGCGATAAGCAATGCAGTAACTTTATAAAACATGTATATGTGAATGATGAAATTTATAATTGAAAGTTAAAGTAGGTGCTTAAGCTTACATGATATGATTTAATATGGTTTCATAATTAATTGAATATTTAAAGAGAAGAAAATTGAAAATGTCCCTGCAACATGAAGAAAAATATTTTATATTCCAAGCCACAGTATCACTTTTGAGCTTTCTTTTAAAATTTTGAACTAATTTTTGGAGCTAATTGTGTGTGTGTGTGTGTGTGTGTGTGTGTGTGTGTGTGTGTGTGAACACGTGTGTTGGAACGATATGATGGTGGACAATGATGAACAGAGCTGAAGACTGAAACAAATCCCAGGTTAGGTTTGTCTTTCACCTTCAGAACAATCAATAAAGGACAAGAAGTGTACTTTTAAATCACTGACTGTAATCTGGATGGATTAGGGTTTTTTTTTTTTTTCCCTAAAATCCATTCATTTTTCAAAGTTTCTTTTTAAGTTGTCAATTCCTGAGGGAATAAAGCAGTGTTTATTGTGAATGTAAGCCTCTTCATTCAGATTAGTTAACATTGTATGAAAAGAATGTGTGGCTGCAAAGGAGCAAGAAATAGGCAGTGTGTGAGAGATGATAAAGTAGACAAGAAGCCTGAGACCACCAGAGTAAGTAAACACAGCTGTATTGAAAGAAGAGTGATGTAGGAGGTCCTTCTTCATATGTGATGCTTTTATTGGCTGTTATGTCCAATGGCTTAGCAGAATAAAGCCAGGCAGGAAAACTGAAGAGAAATACAGAGAAAGATTAGGCTGAGTCAAGGAGATGCTATATAGCTGTTGAACAAGATAGATGCTGGAACCTTACCAGTAGCCCACAGCCTTGTGGTGATGCCTGGATTAATAGAAATGGTTTAGTTTAAGATGTAAGAGCTAACTAGAAGTATGTCTAAGCCATTGGTCAAACTGTATTGCAATAAGTTAAGTTTCTGTGTGATTATTCGGGTTTGGGTGGTCAGGAAATGAAAGTGCAATATTTGCCTATGAAGGAAATACTAGGGACATAATAGCTCAATGAGTAAAGACTGAATGTAAGAATGAGGACCCGAGTTCAGTCCCTGGGTGCCAGGTAAAATGTTAGGTATGGTGGTGCATGCTTGTAATTCCAGTGATGTGGAGGAGGAGACAGGTAGATCTTGCAACTTGATGGCCAGCCAGGCTAGCATGCTTGGCAAGCCCCAAGCTTGTGAGAGATGCTGTCTCACAAGATAAGGCTCATGAAAACAACAACCTAGGCCTCCATATACACACGTGCACACACATGGCCTCCATATATACAAATACACACACACTGCCTCTACACACACACACACACACACAAACACACACACACACACACACACACACACACACACAGGAACCTGTAGACATGTGCATATGCACGTACAGAAGAAAAACATTATAGAAGAAAGACATATTATCATTTGAAATAGCTATCTATACAAAACGTGCAAACCCTATTACCAGAGGAGGAATCAACAGTCCTGCAAGTTTCTTTTGCTTTTGATTATACTTTCAGCCTCTGCTGTTCAGACTAGTCTTCCTGAGGGAGAACACCTAGGGTGTTCACTTTCCCAGACCCAAGGCTATAAGAATGTTACTAGCTACATTGCCTAAGGGCTTTCTGGGCCTTCATTCTTTTTACACACTACTACTACTACTACTACTACTACTACTACTACTAATAATAATAATAATAATAACAACTGGGCCACAGGGCCCCTCACAATAACCTAGAGGCTGGATGCTTCCTAGGGGGACTGCTACTATTCTTCAAAAGGACACAAAAGACAAATGAGACAAGAGAATCCTCTGATGATCAGGCTATAGGGTATCACAAAGGAGTGATAAGAAAATCTCACTGGAGCTATGGAGAGAGCGATTAAATAGGAACATGCCTATTGTGTGTGCTCATCTTATTTTACCTTCATAATTAAATATTTAAAATGGCAACTCTTACCTGGTTTTGCTTGTTTTTCATATCAGAAAATTGAGACAAATACTTAAATTTTCCAAACACAAAGCTGGCAGCTTCCCCACTCAAAAGCTTTGCCCATAGCTAGTTGACTTGGAATGCTAATTCAGACAACCTGGTGGATCTAAGGGACTTGATCTTATTGGTCTGGCCTTCTAATGACTTCTAGATTCTTAGGACCCTACAGTTCTCTCTTGCCCTCCTTTCAGGAGTCAGCCTTACCATGCACTCTTGGCAAGAGTCTGTCTTGGAATTATGTGGTTCGTGAGCCTATGTTAGAGGCTGCAGAGTGCTGGAGCTGAGACTTGGGGTGAAGAGGTGTCAGTTTGCTTGTTATCCCATAGTGGGCTATGAAACGAAACATGCCTCAAAGTTATGAGCTCTGCAGAGGTCCTCTTGTAATTACACAGCATGAGTCATGCAGCTGCTAAGGAAAGAACCAGGAGGAAATGAGCACAGATTTAATATATTAAAAGTCTGAATTAACACCAAGTCCAGCTTACTCAAACTCTTATTGCACCATCACTGAGAAGACTCAAAGGCAGGAGCGGGGCGATGGCAGAGAGCTGCAGCATTTGTAAAATGCTTTGTCGTTTTAATATTTATTAGGTATAATTTTTGAGGATGTACTGTATCCTACTCCTTTGCATGTGTTTTATACACAAAATTCTGGCTTAATTGAGTGGCTGGAAGTTCACTAAAACTTGTGCGCATTGGAACTGTGTAGAGCAGTGGTTCTCAACCTTCCTCAACTACAACCTCATGCTGTGGTGACCCCAACCATAAAATTTTCATCACTACTTCATAACTGTAAATTTGCTACTGCTATGAATTGTAATTTAAATATCTGATAAACAGGATATCTGATATGTGATCCCAATGAAAGGGTCATTCAACCCCCACAGGTTGAGAACCACTGGTGTAGAGTAGGAAGCTGGAGGTCCACTGGCATGGTATATTGCAGATGGATGTTCTTATGTGTGTGTGTGTGTGTGTGTGTATCTGTGTGTGTGTTCTATATGTGTGTACAAACTTATCTTCATAGCTTTTTAGCAACATAGCTATGACTTGTCAGCCTTCTGTCTTAACAAAAGCTTGAGATGGTTAATTGTGAGGAGGAGAGGGCCAGTTCTGCTCATGATCTCAGAGCTCTAGTCAATTATCAATGCACCCCGGGCTCTTGGGAAAGGACAAGTAGGAACTTTATGGGAGGAACTTGGGTTTGACCAAAGCATACACTTTATGGTCAGGAAGCAAATAGAGACACCAGAATCCACAGTCCCCTTGGAGGGTGCTACTTCAAATGACACAAAGATCTACTATATCCTAACTTTTGATAACCCTACCACCCCATATATGCCATTCTGGAGACCAAGCCTTTACCAAAGGGACCTTGACAGGACATTCCAAACCTGAAATATACTAGCTACTATTGTGTACTTTCAATGATGAGGAAACTGAGGTCTTTGAAGCCATGTAATTCTTGTCATCAGAAAACTCACCTATCCTCCTGAAACCTTGGTGGAACTCTGAAACACAGCTTACTACAAAACAGAGAGGACCAAGAGGTGAGTAAACAACCACCCAGCAGGACACCACACTCTCTAGGCCCTCCATACGGGGCAAAACCCTGGACCCTCCCCGACCTGCCTTGGCTTCTATAGCCAGAAAGCAGGTGAGTTTCCTGCAGGTAGGTTGCTCCAACACCCCGACCCCATCCATCAGACCCTGAAAGCTACAAGTCCAGCTCCACCACAAACTCTCCAACTCCCCCTGCAACCTCAGAGGAACGCTGAAACACAAGCTGCAACTACACAGAGAAGACCAAGAGAGAGCACCAAGAGAGAAACTCTAAAATGCAAGCTGTGACTGCACAGAGTGGACCAAGAGAGCGAACCAGGAGAGCAGACCAAGAGAACAGGGTAAGAGAGACCTCAGTGGCTCACGGAGACACAGACAGTGACAGAGCAGACTAAGAACAGTTCCCAAAGACACAGACAGCCACT